ATCTAATGACTTTTATTTATGCATGCACATATACATACATACATACACACACACACATACACTTACACATATACATATACTACTCTGCAGAAAAAAATAATGGTATCTTGAAATTCACAGGCAAGTGGATGGCACTTGAAGAAACCATCCTGAATGAGGTAACCCAGTCACAAAAAGAGGAACACAGTATGTACTCACTCATATACGGATTTTAGACCTAGATCAAAGGATCACCAGTCTATAATTCACACCACCAGAGGAACTAGGATACAAGGTGTATTCTAAGAGATTCATATAAAGTCCCTCACAGAACTGGGCAGGGACAAGTCCCCCAGAGCTCAGGGGCAGCGAATGGAGAGAGAAGTAGGAGAAAATGAGGGGGAGAAAAGGAAAACATGTGCGACCAGGAAGATTGAGCCTGGTTAGGAATAGAAGACAAGAAAGAGAGAGAGGGAGAGAGAGAGAGAGAGAGAGAGAGAGAGAGAGAGAGAGAGAGAGAGAGAGAGAGAACATAAAAGAGGGAGCCAATATTGAACACAAAGAAAGGTCTAGAGAACTACAAGACTGCTCCCAACTAACAATTTGAGCTTCAGTGGAAAGGCTATCATAAATGCCCTTCCCGGAGAGTGAGATCAACAACTAACTTCTCCATGGAGCCCTCAACTAATGCCTGTTGGAAACAGGATCAAACACCCATACATAAACACTGAGTCGAACTAGAACCTAGATGCAGATGGAGAGGACAAGACCAGGCAGCAGAAACACATAGAGACCGCTTACCTGAACAAGGAGGAGCTATCAGCCACTAGACTGATAGCTGGAAAGCCAGCATGGGACTGACTCAGGCCCCCCTGAATATGGGTCTCAGCCAGAAGGACTGAGCAGTCTAAGGGACCTCAGACAGGTCCCTTAGCCAGGATGTATTCCTGGTGCACAAAAGGACTTTGTGAACACATCCCCCATGGAGGGATAACTGCCTTAATCTAGAGACAGGAGAGAAGCCCCAGTCCCTACTTCAAATGACCTGTCAGAGTTACATGACCCCACCTTGATGGCATTCCCCTACATATGGAATTGTGGTGGGGGATGGGAGGGGAGGGTGGTTAGAGTGCATGTGAGAGGGCAGAGAGAGTAAAAGGGAGGGAATGAGGGAGGGAGTGAAGTAGGGAGGGAGGGAGGGAGAGGGAACTGGGATCGACATGTAAAATAATAAATTAAATTAAAAAAATGCTTTGACTCCAAAATTTAAGTTCAAGGACAAGTTACTGGGGAAAAGGATTTCTATTTTTGTTTCCACAGAAAATGAAAAGATGTGGATTCCTTCCAGGCTAATGGGGTTTGATCAAGCCAGACTGCCTGAAACAGAGTAGGAGGTGATGCTACATTCAAAACAGCTGGACAAAGTAGCCTTAGAGACTACAGCCAGGATTTCTGAATCTTCTTCGAATCCCCCATGACAGTACCAGCAGGAAGTAGTTTGGAAAGAACAACGCCCACATTCCCAAATATTGTCTATAAATGTTTGTTTTCATTTAAGTGGACTTTGTTATATAAAATAAATTTAAAAAAATTAAAAAAAAATCTTACATAAGTTATTCTACCCATCTTCAGATAGCCAAATAATAAACAAGTTTGAAACCAATTGAGAATATAAAACTGACTAGATGATTGGAGGCCTGAAAAAGAAATGGATTATCTTTGTATATGCAAAACTATGTCCCCCAAACTGTCTTCATTTGAATATGTCTATGTATGGGAGAATTATGCTGTATCTAAATGTCTAACTATGAACTGTGTTCACTAGGAATAGTGGATTATCGTGCCAGCAGGCCTAGGGTGGAGCTAGTGTTTACTGGAAAAGGAAAACACAAATCTACAAGGAAGGAAGACTCTCTCAAGGGGAAAAAGTAAAGATGATTGATGGTCTTGTTTACAATAGAAAGATCTGTATTTCTGAGTGAGTACTGGAATAAACTTTGTTATGAAACACGAGCTTATTAAATTTAAGGAAAAGAGGCCAAAAGGACATGCAACTACAGCATGCAGAATAGATTGCTACTATTTATTCAGAAGGATAAGTTTACTGGAGTAAACATCACAAAGGAATATTGAGAGAATGAAGAGATGAAAGTGATATGCTGGGGGACTTGTATGGGATAGGAGTGAAAGAGGGGAGGATTGATTAAATGTCTCCAATAGAAAGGATTTACTAAGTACCACATAAAACCCCCAACCACTCAGAGTGAAGTTACTCCAGGCTCTTTCCTGCTTTTTACTTGGCCCTAGATCCCACATCCTGTTTATTCACCTGGAGCAGGACTGGAACTCACAGTTCAGTCTCAGAATGCAATGTCTTCTTGGAGCTTACTTTATCTGACATACTTTTAAAAATAAATTACCTTAACACTTGCCAGGGGCTCTGATGTATTATCCAGGTACTTTTCCTTTCTAATATTAAACTTGGATTTTGCATTATTTGCTGACATTTCTATAGTAGGAGCTAGTATTTATCTGTCTCCTTAAAATTTCTCATTCATTTTGTTTACTCTTTGCGTCGTTATGAGAAATGACGGCAGTGAACACCACTGTGTTTTTTTTTTTATTGCTTTGAATTTTTTTGTGTGTCTGTATGTGTCATGTGCATGAGGGCACTTCTGGTACTCAAGAAGACCAGAAGAAAATGTCAGATGTCCTGCGACTAGAATTACAGGCAGTACTGTGCTTCTGAAAGGAGTTCTGGGAGCCAAACTGAGTCCCTCTGAATCGGAGAAGGGCATTTATGGTAGCCACTCCACTATTGCTTATATTGTTAGTTGGGGTCATCCTTGTGGATTCCTGGAGATTTCCCTAGAGCCAAGAACTTTGCTTAGCTTTATGATACTTGTACATTGTAGGTCAGCATAACGTGCAAACCTTTGTTCTTGAACGCTGGAGACCACTGGATGTAATGCTGTCACTAGCAGAAGCAAACTGTCTTGGAGGCACATCTTTGTCATTGTCACAACATATTGGTTTACTCAATTCATAGGCATCTTATAGACATGCAAGCTTAATGCAAACAGAATTAGCAATAGACACTGCCACTGAATGAAAGTCCTCGATCTAGCATAATAGGGGAGATGTAAGATTAAGTCTGGTGATGAAAATGTCAGTGCAGGTATGATGATATTTTATGGAAAGGGAAAGGAACCCTCACACTCTCCCAACACTGGTTCTTAGTGATTTTCCCGAAGTTCCTGGAAGTCTATGAAAAAAGGAAGTGCAGGCACATCCACTTATCCACAGTCTGCACCCATCATTTCCTATGCAGCAGTGAATACTGAAGGAAGAAGGGCTGGGGACAGTCAGAACTTCGCAAGTAGGAGTCAAGGATCAGACTGAGAGAATGCAGAAAGTTCTTGGGGTTCCTGAGAGTCCTGCAGGGAGTGAAGGGCAAGCAGGCAGGTGCAGGTAGGCTACCCTGAAGAAGCTTTCCGCTGTGAGGCCTCTCTTTCTTCATTAGGGGAAATTTCTGACACTTGTGAAAGTGGTAGAGACCATGGGCAAAGGGAAGGGGCATCTGGCTTACCTCCTACCCTGCTGTTTCTAGCTGTGTGATCTTGGTGGTCACTGACCTAAAGCCACATGATCCCTGGGAGCAGAACTCTTGTTCTGCAAAGGTTCTCAGGTCATTCACTGACTAGGCAGCCTAAGGCCTGCGAATGGTGTAGAGAAAAGAGAGCCATGCTGAGCTCAGAAGTTGATTCCATGGGCAACTTGGTTCGTCCAACTAACAAGGACACAGTTCTAACTTGAACCTCAGGTTATGACTCCAGGACTTCTCATACCAGTGCATTTTCTGCTTCTTTATGCTGAAGAGACCCACACACATGCTGTCATTGGCAGGGGCAGAAATGGGGGGGGAGACAGTTGGGGTCCAACACCCAACTGTGTGTAGGCAACTGATTAATAATCATACAATAATAATAGTAAATAATTTGTTTATAATAAATAATAATAGATAACATAATAAAAACTCTAAATATTTATCTAACATTGATTTTTATGCCACTGAATAAAGTTGTGAATTACTTCTACATGACCATCAAACTTTGACTCTGGATTTTCTTACTGATTATGATTTTATTAACTAACATATAGGATTGTTTCATGGATTAAAAACACTGCAAGATCACTTCTACTAAAATGTGAAGTTTTAATAGACAAAAGGGGCTAAGTACCTTGAGTGGTATGTAGCATTGGAAAACATTCATGACTAACAGAGTCACCTAAGCATGACAATCAAGAAAATGAACCATGTGTTATACAAACCATGTGCTATTTCCACATGTAAATTAAACTTTTACTCCTAAAATTCATTTCTGATTATGACATTACTAACAAAGAAAGTTACTATGAGGGCTCTAAAATAGGATAAAATATATTGGGAGAATGCTAACTATATTACTATTAAATAAAAAATAAACAAAGAGCTTTCAGAAGTTTGAGTAGTATGTAATATAAAGTGGAGGAAACTAAAGATTGAATATTAATTGTATCTCAACATTGGTAGAATATCTCAAAGATTAAACTCAGCAAAAATAAGAGGCAGTGCACTCAAACATGATAGCAGCAAGGAAATGAAGAATGCTACATGATGGAAGGTTTTTTTTTTTTGGCAGTTGCTTGTGTGTATACATGTGTATGCATACACACAACCATGTTTCAAGGCAAACATGCAGGTCAGGGTCAGATTGTAATGACCCTCTCTTTATTCAGGTTTCAGCCTTGGAGTCAACTTCTTTACCTACACACTGAGCCATTTTGAGAGCTTCATTCTAACTTTTGTGTAAATATTTGGCTATGCACACTGGGAACTCCGGGGGTTGTTGCTGTCCATTTATGTATGTGTTTACTGACAGGCTTTGTCAAACACAAAAGAATTTTCCTGACTCCAAAGTTTTGGGCTTTCCATTTCTCTATTGTTAGTGTTTCTTCCCCTGGAATATACAAATACTCACCTATAGATCAGAGAGTGGAAGATGAGTTCACAGTTCTTAGTAAGAGCCATGTCTATTTTCTCTTCCAGCCGTGGAAACGCCATCATGATCCCACAAGTAGTGACCAATGAGACTGACACAGTGATTTCAACAAATGAGATAAAATTTCCCCAAACAGACAACCCCCAGCCTGTTCACCAAAGGCAAGGCAGCCTGCAGAAACATCTGAGAGCAGAGGTCAAAGTGATGGCGGTAAGTGCAACTCAGAAGGGTCTGGGGTGGCTGGAGGGCAGAGGACAGTGACATACTTGATATTGAGACCAGAGTTCCACTGCTAGCATGATTTTGCAATGAGTGTTACAGAGAAGCTTGAGATAAGTGGAAGCCCCTTGGAAAGCAGTTTCTATCTTCCCCAGGACTTTCCACAGAATGAAGATTTTGCACCTTAATTTTGACTATGAATTGATATTTTCTCAATTTATTGGTTTGTATTCTGTTTCTCAGAGTACTTTCTAATATCTTCTTTGTGAATATAATGGTAAATAGTTACCTTGTGTGTAGACATACATACATATGTGTATATATTATAAACACACATATGTAGACATAGACATGCACACACTATATTCATCAATTGTTCAGTAATCTATACTGATTTTCAGTGGAATCTTTGCTGTCACTTCCAGGGATACAAGAAGGCCCTTCTCCTCCTTGATCATTTCCTTTGAAATGCAGAGATGATACCTTTTCTGTGCTCATCAATGACTTTTTAAATTCTGTTGGGTCAAGGGAGTGAGAAAGAATACACCTAGGACTGGGGTGGGTAAAATATTGAGTTGTGGTTTTCAGTACTGTCTCAGCACTGAGATGATCATGGAGAGCCTGTATGAGAACAAGTCTCTGAACTTGATGGAACTGGGACCTTGCCTCAAGCAAGCTGTCTCTTGGGTTCCTATGAGGATCACGTGACAGATAGGTAATAAAGGTGCTAAATGTAACTAGAGCTGTGAGACTCTAAGATGAAGGGGGAGAAAGGAAATCCAGACTAAAGTGGCTGGGGAGATGGACAGAGCACCTAGCTCTGTGTTGTGTTGAGTTGGACTCAATAGGTGATAAGAGGGGCTCAGATGGTTCCTGTTCCCATAAAAGGGAACAGACTTGCTAACCATGAACTCATGCCTCAGACTCAGCCAGGAGATGCTAGGAAGGGTCTTGATCATGACAGGGGTTCATAAACATAAACACCTGAAGGTGGCCTGAGACTGTGGCAGAACCAGGTACCCTCCAGAATGCACTTCCTAACACTTCACCCCAGAACTTTTACAGTGCCTGTGTGTTAATAGTGACAATACATGATAACCATGGGAGGGGTGGAGAGGTTCCTCTTGTCATTGCTGGTTTTAATTCCCCATCTCCCTTCTTTTGGCAGGCGATCCAGATCATGTGTGGTGTGATGGTGTTGTGTCTGGGCATCATTTTGGCATCTGCTCCTAACACCCCACACTTTACCCCAGTGTTTTCTGTCCTGTTAAAATCTGGCCACCCATTTGTAGGATCCTTGTTTGTAAGTACAGTTTTGTAGGGAGCAAGGTGGGAGAACAGAGGAGGGAGATATCACTTAGCTCACTTTCTGGCTACTGTGAGAAAGGGGTAGATGATAGATCTTGTTTTTCTGAGTGTCATCCCCAGAAAGTCCTAGAGTATTAGGGCAGAGGTCACACCATTCTGAAGATGTTTTCCATCTAGTTCAAATAAGCATTTCTTGTGAATATCATCTTTTCAACCCACCTATTAAGTTATGATGAATTTAGTGACCTCTATAGGTTGAGTAAAACACCCAGGAAGTGAGATCCACATGATCTAGAGCTTTCTATGTAGTGCAGTGACACCCAATGGACTGATCACTGGGCAGAAGGAATGTTTTCATTTGGCTTTGTTGGAGGCATTCAGGGTGATAGGGTAGAGATTCCTTGAAGACTGTTCCATGCCTGGGGTCAGGAGGACAAGAAGGTCCTTCTCTCAGAGGACATCTCTCCTTTAGCTTGACGTGGGTGAGTCTCAAACACAAGTGAGATTTCCTGTCACTGTGGCTTCCCATCTGCTTACCACCACTCAGTAACAGCTTTTCCTTTCCTACATTTCTTTCTTCAATGCATCCCCACCTCCACCCTTCCTTCTGTGGTACAGACAATTCCTGCTTAATCGTCTCATGGCAACACATGACTTCGTCAGTTGTTCAAGAATACCCTTCTTTTGCCCATTTGAGGACCTCCAGCTGTCCTCTTGACTTCCTCATGCAGACCCTTTAGGTTCTCCTTTGTGATGACTTTACATGATGACTTTAATAGCGGTTGTCCAAGACTCTTGTGGAATGTTTGCTGATCTACTTGAAGCCAGGATGAAGAGTGATTAAGTGATGCCGGAACTGCAGCACCATTTTGTCAGGTCTCAGGACAGACATGTACTGTCAACATCAGCTCTCTGTACAAATAACCCATTTCAGGACGTTATGGTGTTGTTTATTATCCTTTAGCTTCTCTGCCTCTCCATTCTGTGGTCTTCTCCTGTCATCACATAGGAGAAGTCTTTTGATTGACTTCAGCTTAGCATTAAAAACATGTACTTAGAACTGGTGCAGTAGCTCAGCAGTAGAACATTTGAGTGGTACACACAAGGCCCTGGGTTCAGTCTCCCAACACAATTAAGGAACAGAATCACTTATATATATGGACATGTCAATAAATCCTGGAGAACTTCAACATCAGATGTTTTTTACATTTTAAAAAATCCATTTTCAGAAACATTCTATTATTTTACTTCACTATGTCCACTGAATCTTGGCAAATAGTTTTGCTTGACTTTTTTGAATAATGTTTAAGAGTCCATGCCTTCCAACCATTCTGCCTTTTGTTCTCATTCACCTGTTCTCTGAATTTACTAGTTAAAATTTGATTTTCTGCTCTTGCACAGTAGTTAATAAATCTGTGCACCCCCTGCCTTTTTTAAAGGAATTAGTTTAAATCATTTTCAAACTCCTACAAAAATCAGAATGAGAAGGATACACTTCAGAACCAATTTTGGGAGCTAGTGTTATTCATATATTAAAGCCAGACAAAGATATTATAAGAAAATGTAAGTAACAGTGAAATTCCTGAGAATGTAATTTCGAAATTCTTTATCAAAATACTAGAACAGTATTTTGATGACAGCACGTGGGAAAGACTACTCAGCATGGTTAAGTGGGATTTGCTCAGAGATGTAAATGTGGTTTAATATATGCCACTGAGCAAGTATGATATCCCTTTATTAATGGTGGCACAAATCCAAAACAGATATCCCTTGTAATTTTTTTTCTTTCTAGACTGTTATCTTGCATTTTCTTCAATTATCTGACACCCAAATTTTCTTTTCTCATTAAAAATACTCATTTTCTATCTTTTAAGGTAGTAATTAAATTTAATGATATAGATTCATGTTCATATCTGTTTTTTTCTCAAAACTTTCTAGCTATCACATAGGGAAAGGGGCAAATATATGCATCTGTAGTGAGATAGTTCTGTGGCACTGACCACGCCCATTGGGGGGTGGAGCCATGGGCGGAGTGACCTGTGGAAGGAGGTCGGAGGGGGCCAGGAAAGGTGCTCTCTTTCTGGCGTGACTCGGACAGGAGAGGATTGGGTTGAATTTCCTGGTGTTCATCTGTCTAGGTTGTAAGTTATTTCTCCCTGAATAAACATCTATTCGGCCTATTTGTTTATCCTGATCCTAATTTACCGCGATATGCATCTGCATGCGTCTTAAATCACTGGTCATTTGTTATCAGGGCTTTTCCCATGGAGTTTTTCATAAGCATTAGATAGTAACACTGCAGCCATTCCAAACATACAAACTGAGCTGATAATGTCTTCCTCTTCTCTGGGCAGTTTGTTGTCTCTGGAATTTTGTCTGTCATCACAGAGAAGAAGACGACTAAGCCTTTGGTGAGTACAGGAACCATAACCTACAATTGATGAGGATGGAACCTAGTAAGAATACTTCCAAGCCAGTTTCTTCATATTGAGAGTTAGAAGCTAAGTTTCGAGCAGCTGTTTCTGTGACTTAGGAGCCAAATCTGGATTCTCTATAACCCTTGAAAGAGTGTGTTCTTCCCATCATGGTGCCCCAAATCAAAGTCTGCATGATACTCATGACCAATGTCCATGAATGTCACACAAAAATTCTGCTTCCTTATGATGCTGTTTCATAGGTAACAGGTCCTGTAGTTCATTTTAATCATCATCTTTATTGCATAAGGGAACATGGAGATTAGGCATCATATCTCTGGGACCACTCACCCCAAAAGCTGAGGATCCAGATATGGAAATGTCAGCTTTTCTCTCTCTTATTTGCTGCAATGTGAGCTTTCCTTATCTTCCAACTCCTTTCTACAACCATGGGTTGAACCTGTGAACCCATGAGCCAAAACGTTTCATTTCTCCCACAGGCTGATCACATGAGTCAATTTTATCAAAACAAGACAAAAGTCTTCTGCAAAATTAATAAATAAATAATATTTTTTCAGTAGTAGTAGTACAAAAAGACTTATAGAAAAGGTATATCTGTTGTAGATTTTCCATATAATTTCACCTAATAAATTAAAAAACCATAAGAAAACCAGATGACATGTTGTTTTTACATGAGAATTTTTTTCTGTATTTGATATATCACTTATGAAATACACTTTAGTCAGAACTTGCTTTTAGCATCTGGATTGTGGCAATTCCTCAAGAAGTCCAAGGATATCACTTGTTAGTGTTCCAAAGCAACAGAACTAAATGACCCGTTTAATGTAGAAAAGTGCCCTCTCTGACCAAACTATACTCTATTGTATATAGCAATTGGGTATACTACAGTACCTTCAAACTCATGTCCATAAATTTTAGAAAAATCTTAGCTCAAGTCTCCTATTCTATAGGTCACACAAGAAAAGAAACTGCTTCTGAGATCAGTTTATTTATCTCCCTACCTCATGAATGTTGTCGAGATGAGATCCAGGATGACCATTGGTGGAAAGTCACTGAGGAACTGAGTG